TTAAACTGAAGTATATTAATGCAGTTTTTATCAAATATATTTTGAGTAACAGGACTCTTGCCGTTAACGAATAAAATGTACTAAATCATGTCCCCGACTTCATTCTGTGCGTATTTTTTCATATAAATTCAACTTCGGCACCCCAAAACTCACTACTGCTTTTGTCTTTTAAATCCAAAACATGAATATAAGTTACTCAGACATGTAAAATCTTATTTATTTTCCATGCATTAAAATTTGCGAATATGTGGAGGTACGGTGGGGTTACAACTGCGCCGCCGCCATTTTGGATTTTACGAGAAAATATTGGGCACACTAAACTTAACTTCTCTTGAGCCTTCATCGATCCCATGAATCTGGTAAAAACACCCGACGAATTGATGCCATTGAATTTTGTAACACGATCGCCTATTTTTCTTTGATTGTCAACTTCGTCTTTTTCTCACAATTAGGTCTCTTTTACACAAAATTTTGAGCGAGATTCGATAAAACCATGCTAATTTTGACACTCGCTAAAGCCATTTCAGAACAGGAAGATCTCCAAAATAAAATATAATTTGATAGATTGTAGTCTATGTAAACATTCCACCAAATGGCATTTGCATCCGTTCACTTGCGTCCGAGTTATGAGCAAAAGTTGTCTTGAAAAATTTAATTTGATCGAATTGTGTCTTTTGTTACGTCATTTTTATGGTCAGTATGCTAAACATTCTATATTCTGACGTCATTTTCGGAGTTATTACGTCATGAAAATTATAAAGTGACAACACAATATGTGTATATTTTTCTGATCTTTCCAATGATATCAAACTCAATAATTTCCGTAAAACGGTTAATCTTTTATTAAACAGTTGCCAGAACTTTTGAAATGCCCCTCGTATAAAGGTATTGTTGTTAATACCTAAAAATTAAGACCAAGTAGTCAGGAAAAAAATGTCAAAGTTTTGAAAACTTCACACAAAGAATTTTCGGACATAGGTCCCCTGTGACAACGCACTTTGAAAAAATTACTCACTTTGATACTTTTTTTTCAAAGTGCGTTAAAATTGGGACAAAATCAACGCACTTTGAAAAACTTTTTTCAAACTGCGTTAAATTTAGGACCAACTCAATGCACTTTGAAAAAAATTTTCAAAGTACGTTAAGAGTTTACATCAATATTTTTTTACAATGGAGACACTAAACGCACTTTGAAAAAAAAAACATGTAAAAAAAAAACCAACAAATTTCTGAATTCAGATTCAAGTAATGGAAAGCTTTGATTGTTATTCATATATCGAAAAACTTATTCATTGATATACTACCGTTGGGCAGAAGACGGGTAAAAGATCTCTGAGCCAAGTGTAAAAGGTCTAAATATAACATTTAAAGTTCAAATGAAGTATCATTGTTTTGTAAATTTACTTTTTACATTTATGTATTCATTCTTAATCTTATCTTTAGACCTTAGAATGTAACACATAAGTTTTAAAACATCCCCCTTCCGACCATTCAATTAAAACGTGCTAGTCCGCCAAGTACAACAAAAGCAGCCCGAATTCTAATATGCATTAAGATTATCAATGTCTTAAACTGAGCGAAATTAATATTCTTGTCCTTTTTTTAAATGCCTGTTTTTCAGATACAGAGGTTGAATTTTCTCTAATTTGGCGTAGTGTAGTAACCCTTGGACTTCCGGTCAAGGAACTGTCATTCAAACTTTTGAAACACATGAACCCGAAAGTCGTTATGTAGTGTATATTTGCATCTGTAGCTCTCCCTTTTCTTTATTTTGAGAATTTCCAACATGAGCAATGAAAATGCGTGATTCCAGTTACTTTCAGGAAATACAAGCATCACATCCGGAAAAGAAAGAACGATATTTTTCCGGAATTTTAGTACAAGACTTATGATTAACAAGTACAAAACCTTGAAAACCTAAAATATTGTCAATAATTTTATTAGAAATTCTAATTGTTTATTTCTGTTCAGGGGGCTAAAAATCAACTTCCGGTAATGGAATAAGTTGAAATTTGTGTTTGAAGTTTACAAGTATGTTTTAAATTTTTTTATTGGTTCCTCTCCTGTTCATTGACTGGAATCTCTTTCAGGTAATATTACATTTAGTACTTGTGTCAGTGAAGTAAAACTGGCCTCATCCGTTTTAATTTAGATCAGACCTTTAACATTTATATATATATATATATATATATATATATATATATATATATATATATATATATATATATATATATATATATATATATATATATATATATATATATATATATATATATATATATATATATATATATATATATTCAGAAATTAATGAGATAAATATATAGCTTCGTAGAAAAGAGGATATTCAAATTATTATTATAATATAATATAATATTTGTTGTGTCAGCCTGACCTGAATATATGAAACGTAGAAATGAATAATGGGAATGATGTTCTGGATAATTTAAAAAGGCACCGTGAGAAATATTATTTTAGAGGATTACTATTTATTTGATTGAAGCGCAATATTTCTAAAACAAATCTCAATAACCATTTTAAAAACGCAACAGAATTGTGCTGGTTTTGGGGACCAGGTCTTCCAACAATCTATTGGAATTCCCACTGATATCAATTACGCCCCGTTATTAGCAAACCTATGTTTGCATTCATATGAAGCAGAGTTTGTGCAAAATCCTATACGAGAAAAGAATAGAACACCTGATGTGACCTTCACCTTGACATTTAGATATATCAGCGACGTACTCTCATTTCTATTCTTATTTTTATACATGCGATATATCCTGGTATCCTGGTAAAAGATACAACAGAGCCAGACATGTCTGTTTCATGTTTGGATATTGTACAAAAAATGTATATAACAACCAATGGCTTTGATAAACCTAATGACTTTGACTTAACAATTGTCAAATTACCTTACTTATTGCAGCAAAATATCTTTTTCAACTGTACGGAGTTTATATATCTCAGTTGATTCGATACGAAAGATCATGCTCTACTTATGGGCAATTTATTAAACGAAGTAAAATATTGACAACCAAGTTGATGAAACAAGAATATCAGCAGTTTCGTTTAAAGTCATCATTTCGTAAGTTCTATGTTTGATCTACCGGTAATGACCAATTCAGCAATTCATAATTGAGTCAAATGCTAACTGACGTGTTTCATAGTAATTCTTAGTCTTTTATATATACACTGAATTGACAACGAATTTTTATCGTTTTCCCGATTATGGCAAGGAGCACACTGGAGCTTTAACATGTCGGCAGGGGATGCTCACTTCTCCATGGAACCAGATCCAACCTCTGATATTTTTAAGTCCTTGTTTGCTCTGCTCCTAACTTTTTATTGTTTAATTTTATGGACTTTTGATCTTGAATACTGTTCATTATCTCCATATATTTAAGCATAAGGACTTGGCAATTTGAAAAAAATGGCAAAATACTGTATACAGGGCAATTTTTGCCCCCGTTTAATTTACGCCCGTTTCGCTCTTGTCACAAATGGGCAAATTTAAAACGGGGCAAATTTGTAGAATACAGTACAATTTTTTAAACAGTACTATGGCTGAGCGAATTTAAAACGCGGCAAAATTGTTAGAAAGTGTAAAAGGATGAAAATAACGCTAAAATAACCCTGTATACAGGAAGACCTTGAAACACTTTTCTTCTATTAGCTTCCGATTCAACTGTTTTAGGTTCCAAAAGTCTATCAAATGTTAGGGTTCCTTTATTTTGGATTCTGCCCCCCCCTCCCCAATACTGCATATATTTTAAGAAGTATAACGACCTTTAGTTAGTAGAAATATTGTTTACAAGATTTATTTACAATTAATCGTCCTACTTAGAATTTTTTTATTCAATGACACTAAAATTTTATTATGTGTTTCATTTTTTGAAAAAAAGTTATTTGTTTTGAAATAGAAAGTACAATGCACATTTTAACTACTTAATTGAAGTTCGTTTTTTACATTCCTGAAGAAGAGAAGAAATTATAATTTTTTTTAAAGATTTAATTATTACTTTCCTGAGTTAAGCAACATTTCGTACTTAAGATGTTTTGATTTGTACATATTTTATTGTTTAACACAAAAGGATAAGAAGATCCTTACTTAAGATGTATATTCGTTTTCCAATTAATTGAGTAACAAATTTGTAAATAGATTAATTATATGAGTATATCTTGTTTAAAATGGAATTTGAAAACGTTCAAATATGTAAAAAAACAAAAAAAGTTTACAAAAACGTTTTCGTAAAAAAAACCCCACAAAAATACAAAGTCGTTTTAATCTTGCTTTCATTCTCTTCAGTGGAGGTTTAAGCTTTGCAATTGTCGGTAGCGGATTTGTAGAAGCTGTTGATGAAATTACAGTCCACTTTTCAAGACACAAAGAAAATGTAAGGATATTCTATTACTCATTGATTTTCTGGAATAACGACTTGATGTAATTTTTTTGGGTAATCTTAACAAAAGCTAACGTGGGCTTTTCTGATCAAAGCAAACTCCTCTGTTCGTCTCTCTATAGCTACTGTAACATGTATATCTCTCCTTTGCCGTTATTTGATTTTTTACACCGATCATAAATATGACTGAAAGCTTTTTAATGTTTGAAATTATTAGTTATCCATGCTCGTTCAAGGGTGTCAGAGGATATACCCCGGGTTTTATACCATACACGGTTGACATGCAACCCGGAATTTGGCCTCAGGGTGTATGGAATAAAACCGGGTTCACCAATGATTGTACGTGGATAACAAATTCATTTCTTATATACCCATAAACATGCTTTGTAAACATCATAGTCTAATCAATTGTGTCTCAATCTATCGATAAGATTACTACGTACAACAATGCATCGTGACGTCATGTTTTTTTTTCTTAGAGAAAGTATGCATTGAGAAGTCACGTTTTATTTACACCCGGCTCAAGGGTGCACGAAGATTTACTTCCGACTTTGTAACCAATCAAAGCTCGTGTTACAAGTTACATAGGAATAATATTTTATATTTTTTTCATTGCAGAATAAAAATTTGTGTTCGAGAAGAAATTTGTTTCGTCTCATTTGTAAATACCCCCATTTTCCAAGGTGGTTGCCAGAGAATAGCTCTAGGGTTCAAACACTGCACCTTTCCTTAGACGGTTTTACAACCACTTTAGAGCCACTCGTGCTGTATGTTAACGATCCTATCTTCTTCCCTTTCAATGGAAACCAATCTTATAGTTTTGATCCTGCCTCAGAAGAAAACAAAATTACCATCAGGGTAGGTCCTTTTATAATTTATCATTTAATAATTTAGAATACTCGACAAAGCATATATAACTATTTTTTTTAAATATCTGGCTATTCTTCAAGTTCCTTTTAATTTGGAAAGAAGCCTATGCAACAGAAACAAAATAATATTTTTATGCTTTATGAAATTTCTTAAATGTAGCCATCTAATGTCATTCTAGGTTATGGTAAGTTTTGCCTTATTTTAACTTATGAGAAGGATAATATAATTTATAAACAAGCTAATTCAAAGAATTCGTGTCCCCTGCTTAGGGAAAAAGTCGGATCCCCCTGACTGAATTTGTAGAATTATTAAATGTATACATGTATACTGAAGCAAATAAAATACATATATGTCAATATGCATATAAACATTTGATTGCTTAATCTTTACATGGAACATTTTTCACACTGTAATGATGATTTTATGAGTTTGTACAAGCCAGACCTCATACATTTTCCATTTCACATGCTTAATACTATCATTTAGTAAAACAAAACCTGTTTTGAACGTAATAACTCTCCTCATACCCCTGTGCTAAAAATAGCGACATGTAATACAATAAATTAAATACTAATAAAACAAACGGGCGGGACACTTTGAGAGGGGTGAGTGTGGTCCTAGGGAGTTTTGATATAAAATTACATTGCAAAAGCTCAATATCTTCTTGAAATATCGCCTGGAAAGGATAGTGTTACACACAGACATAATGTATAAATTTACGACCTTGAACTTTGACCTTTTCACAGCAAAATAAATAGTGTCCTTCTTTAGGCCATAGGGAGTTGTTATGTAAAATTTCATTGCAAAAGCTCAAAGGGTTCTCGAGATATCGCGCGGAAACGAAAGTGTTCTAACAGACAGAATTTGTAAATTTATGACCTTGACCTTTGATCTTTTGACCTAAAAATCAATAGGGTTCTTCTTTTGTCCATAGGAGTTGGTATGCGAAATTTCATTGCGAAAGCTCAAAGGGTTTTTGATATATCGTGTGGAAACGAAAGCATTACAGACAGACAAAATGACGGACGGACAGACTGACAGACACAAATTAATATCCACCACTTTTCAAATAGGGGACAAAAAAGATTAGGCAATTCCACCCTCCTATGATGTCATAGCTTTTTTGCAAAATCTGTTATCAAATTAAATTCGTATACAATAGAACAATATGTTCTGTAAAAATTATTTTCCATAGGTGTAATAATAAATATTTTTAAGTAAAAGAATTGGGAAAAATGCATTTTTTCTTTATTTGATCAATTTTTCAATCTTTAAAAAATAATGACAATGGCAATAACTCCTGCCAAGGTAGCTTCATTCATGCATTTTCTTTATTGTACTTATAATGTAAAATAGTTTTCCAGATATTCACAATTCAAAAGTATAAGTAGCAAGTGTTTAGGAACTTTCAGCATCAGAATTATAACAGTTTTTACGTAATATTTATGACACTGTTTGCATAAAATGAACAATTTGTTATGTTGACATATGCTCCTGTATATGTACGTATCCAATCTTAAATAATATGGCGACCTATACATTTTTGGCAATTATTGGTAATTTTAACTTTAATTTCATTAAATGAGAATAAATTCAATTTTTTGTACTTTAAACCATTAAAATTACAAATTATGAGTGTGGAAAAACTTTTTTAGTAGCGATTAATTTATATTTTTCAAAATAAAAAGATTTCAAAATCACATTTTAAAACCATTATAAACATTTTCATTAATGTTTCCTACATGTATTTCTGTTTTAATGATTTTTTTTCCTTGTATCTAAAAATGAAATGTCATTCCTCCTATTCAAATATTTAAAAGAAATACTGCTCTTCGCCTTTTTTTCCAAATTCATGATTTTTTACCATTTGATTTTTTTTTTAAATAAGGAAAAAATGAAAGGTGGTTTATAATTTTAGTAATACAGCAAAACTCGTTTAGTACAAACACGGATATAGCAAATTCGCGGATATAGCGAATTTATATTGGAGATCACCAGCTACACAGGGGTAATATGGAAGCATTCAGAATATTCTACTTTGACTGAATCAGTGATACATTCTGACGTCACAATAGGCGAGATGACATCAATTTTAAAACACAAGATTTTGTGGTTTTGGTATTTAGAGATGTAATTTAACTTTAAAATTAGAAAATGAATAGAAACGTCTAAACATTAGCAAAAATAAAATATTTTTTATTTTGTTATGCTACATTTGTCATTTTGAATAAAATCTACCACCGATGACGTCATGCATGTAAATCAGGTAACTTGGGTATTGATCATGTTGTTTCAAGAGAATTTAGCTAAAACGACATATACATGTACAGAAACACGTAAAATATTAAGTTAAACGGCAAAAATCGTGAATATTACGGGAAATTCATATGGAGTTAAAGTTTATAAAACATATATGCTTATTTATTGTCATTGATTTTATTCTCTATTGAAGAAAATCAGCTATATTTTTATCACGGTCCGCCTTTCCTCTGTCATTTGTCAAAAAAAATGCAAAAGATCAACAGTAAGTTGGATATTTCAAAACATAAGATTCGTACAGATCGAAAGTTGCCTCCTAAAATACTTGCAAAAAGCTGCTAGAACGTCGAGGTAAGCATTGTTTCACGAAAAATTTCAGGTCATATGTAAAAAAACAAAATTCAACACAACAGGTAAGGTTTCGTGCGAATGTGTGGAATAATTATTTTACTGACAGGACAGAAGAATTCTAGCAGCTCTTTTTAGGCATAATAGATGTTTTGACTATATTATTCACTTAAAGAAGTTAGATACTCCGGGATACTGTTATTCTGTTTTCTTAATTAAGGAACATTTCTTTATTAATAAAATCAGGTGAATCCATGGCAATGGTACACGTGATTGCGTAAGACACTCTTTTATCTTTATGCAATAGATAACAATAGTTTATCATCGGTTTTGGTAAGTTATCGAACTCAATTTTCTTTCAAAAGTCTAAATTTCCCCCCAAAAATGATTAATTTTATTTGCTTCCTTTACATACACGCGTATAGAAATTAAACGAATTCTTTGTTTGGATGTATAACGAATTACGGATGTAGTAGTAAAGTAGTAAATTTTATTTATAGTCGGACTATATACACATAACAAAGAACATGAACTGTAAATCTCTGTTACCGACTAGATATAGCGAAGTAACATCGTTGGTCCCTGTGACATCGTCATAACCAAGTTTTACTGTACAAGGATATGCCTTTAATGATTTTCCTGTTTTTTCCATAGGGAGAGAATTTAGATGTTGTTGCAAATAAAGATGATTATTATATTCGAGTTGGATCAGGGGAATGCATAATTACCGATCTGCAGAGTTCTAGTCTCACGTGTACACCTCCCTATACAGAGCCACCGCCTTTAGCAACTGAGGAGAAATTGTATATAAGAGTAAGTCGCTAGATGCTGAAACTTGTATCATATACTTGTTCCAGAATGTCTATACTCACACAAACCGGATATGATTCGTAAAAAGAATCATATTAGATCAGACTATTTCTATATCGAAGGACCCCTTTATAAAGCGGCTGATTTGGTCACTATAATCAGTCGTCACCAGTGTAGACGAATGTATGCAATGCAGCATTGGGTAGCAACAAAAAATAACTCATTACTTCATTCAATGCAGGAAAGTAAGATATCATAGAAACCTACAATATTACACGTGCAGTCAGTGCAATATACAAACACAACTACACATAACTGCAATAACATGTAAACAATGGTAAAGCATTCAAACATAACGGATTCAAAGAGTATAAGCTGGTGCAGATATCGCAGATAGTAATATCGAAAACGACATATGCCTAATTTAAAATCATGACTTTGTTTGAACTTTCTAAGATTTTTATTCTAAAGTGTCTATATATGTAATACTTATAAGATTTAGATATTTAATAAAGATTGTTTCTCTTTTGTACTGTATCATTAGGTTGAAGTAGGCTTTCTCAACGTTGTTGTTGGGGATTTGATTTATCCGTCGTCCACATGGTACATTGTTATAATTGTGATCATCACTGTTGTGCTTGCTGGTGTTGTAACAATTGTCGTTTTAAGATGGAGGAAACGAAAATCCAGAAAGACACGAGATGCTCAAAATTATGTTCAAAATGTGCAAGGTATATGATTCAGTTTTAAACATTTTATTTTTTGTGAACAATGGTTCTTGAATCGGAAGTTTCTCTTTTATTTTTCACGCTACTTTGCCCTGTTTCATTTGTTTAAGCCCTACTGGCGCTATGATTTGACCATATGCTCTAGGCTCGTGGAGGAAATAAAAAAAAACCTTATGCTTGAAGTTTGAATCTCACTTCAAGGACCAGTCCTTTGTTTGATATTGTATAAATCGAGGTCACGTTTCATAGTAGAAATTGACACAAAGGGATCTTTACTGCATAATTTTTCTGTGTGTCTATCATAAGTGTAATTTTGAAGCCCTTGACAGGCAGATGACGAAAAAAAAAAATGATGTGAAACAAAAAAAAAAAAAACAAACAAACAAACAAAATAAATAAATAAATAAAGAAAATTATAAAATTATATTAACATTAACTTAATTTTGCAGTGCTAAGCCTGCAAGTTGTAGTATCTTTATATGCGTAAAGAAATATAAAAAGATATATGAAATAAAGAAGCAAATAGTGTTTTTTATGAGCTATTTTACTGTGTTGGTCCCTGCAAAACATATAATTTCCTCCGACAGTAACGAATCAAATTTTTGCGTTCGACACAGTAGATATTTTTGCCGACAAAGTAAGATCTGTGATACTCATATAATCCAAAAATATAATAAAAAAAAAATAAAATAAAAAAATATAATTTCGAAAATGGTACATGTACATGTGTAAGTAGTTCAACTGTTTTTACTCTTATCAATATGTACGACCATACCAATTATGTAACGAATTAGTGACTTTTTTAAAAAAAAGTTTGTGCATTATAACTTTTGTAATTATAATGAATAATGATTTAGTTGCAAATTTGTTCACAAAAATACCAACAAAGTTTAGTGCTTTGCATAAACTATGCAACACTGTAAAATTTCAAAGGATGGAGAACCCTGCAAACAGACAAACGACTATTCATTTCTATATCACTTTATAGTTTCAGGATACGAAATGCTGAGAAGAAATCGGGATCAAGCTGATAAACATGGAATAGATGAAAGTATAGTGAACCTTCTGAAAAGTAAAGATTTACTCATCTCTCCCGACGACCTCAGAATCGGAGATTGTGTTGGCAAAGGTAGATATAAAGTGAATGGGAAAAGCAAGAATTATTTTTTTTATTTAAAAAAATATGTGGTCTTTTCTTTCTAACCTTGTATCTAGGGAATTTCGGGATTGTCTATGCGGGTACATTGACCAATGCAGTGGAAAAAAATGAAATCAAAGTGGCGATCAAGTCCTTACATCGTATGTAACTCATTTCGTGTTTAATAGCTATCATTTTTTTCTTAAACGGTGCTTCTTTTCTTTCTGACTCCTCCTTTTTGTCAAACAAATTATTATCCTTTGAAATCCTTAATTTAAACAAAAGATAATTCTACTTTATAATTTTAGGTACTATAAATATTTCATATTCACTTATGCCACTTTATGTACGATTATTTTTTTATCTTTATTTACTTGGATATCCAATAAAACTATTCACACGTTTATTTATAATACCAACAATCGAATGTTTTGCCCGCGAGGCGCAATGCTTAGACCGTCTGCTCTAGAGTTGTCAAGTAAGGAGTTGATTTTTACGTCGCTGGTTCGAATCCCACTGTGGGACATGGATATCGGTCTTTCGGATGAGACATGTATAAACTAAGGTCCCATGTCGCAGTAGGTGCTGGCACGAAAAGATCACCAACGTTGACGTTATGGTGATCCCCCCCTCAATAATTCAGAGTGCCAAGCATAGGAAAACATTTTATACGGGACAAATTCAAACAATACAGCATTATCTCTTGAAAAAAACAACTTTTTCTTGACAATCTTCAAACTTTTCAACGGTGTAAAATTGTTTGAAATTGTGAAAGGGCAAAAATAACACGGACAAATATAACGGTGTATACATTACGTGTATATCTACTTCTTTCATACGTCAACTACCCTTACTTATGCAGCAGTATACCTTCATCAGCTGCATATGAAGTTTATAATTCTCAGTTTATTCGATGCGCAGGAGCATGCTCTACGTATGAACACTTTTTAAAACAAGGTATATTATTTACAAACAAGTTGATGAAACAAGATAATCAGCAGTCTCGTTTCAAGTCATTATTTCGAAATTTCTATATCGATACAATGACATTGTCAGCAAATACAATATACTATTGAGCCAAATGCTGACTATCGTTTTTCCATACTAATTGTTAGTCCCATAATTATTCAATGAATTGAGGACAGATTTTTCTTTTATTTCCCGATCATGACAAGGAGCACACGCTGGTGTGACCGTTCGACAAGGGATGCTCATTCTTCCATGGCACCTGATCCCACTTTTGATGCTCTGGAGGTCCGTGTTTGCTCTCCTCCTGTTTTGTTCTATTTCATGGACTTTTATCTTCTATTCTGTTCGTTATCTCCATATGTTTCATTTTTTATGTCTTTTCCTCTGTTTGCCGACACAGTAGCTCAGTCGGTAGAGTGCTCACTCCCTGTTCGGAAGGTCGTGTTTTCTGCGACTGACCTAGCTCAGCAGATAAAATAAAGGTAGAAAATGTTTCTCTACAAGCGTTCAAAACTTGGATGTGAAAGTTGTGGGTGAGATCATTAGAACCGAAGCCCCATGTCAGGACAGATATTTGCAAGATAAAGAACCTTCGTTGCTCAATGGACCTGCGTTCCGAGTTATGGTCTGAATTTGAAACCCATTTTCGATTTATGGTGACGGTACTACAGACACTAAACCGTGCTACTACACCACTTGAACGGTAGGGTTCGGTACGCTTTGTGCACGGAACGGTACGCTTTGTGAACGGAACGGTTCGTTTTGAGAACGGTACGGTACGCTTTGTGCACGGAACGGTTCGCTTTGTGGACGGAACGGTACGCTTTGTTCACGGAACGGTTCGCTTTGTGCACGGAACGGTACGCTTTGTGCACGGTACGGTTCGCTTTGTGCACGGAACGGTTCGTTTTGTGAACGGTACGCTTTGAGAAACGGTATGCAAATGAAGTGGGTGGAGCCTGTTAGCTTTAATTCTTGATTGGCTGCTAAAAAAATTTCATTTTAAATGACTTTTGAAGTACTGAATGCACGTATATAATTATATTTCAGCTATAAACAAATTAATTTCTCGGTTTCAATTTAAACATTTTACACTACAGCGGTGATGAAGGAAAAATGAAAAAAAAAATGAAAGGAAGAAAAAACATCATCCCACCGATGCCTTTGGCATTATGTATAGATATGTATTAATATGTATAGAACTCGTAAATATTTCCGTACTAATTTTTACGTATGCTGAACCTTCATTTTAAAAAGGAAAAAAAAATCAATTAAAATATTATTTTTAACTTTAAAATACAGTTGTAACATAATTAAAAGGAATAAATATATACCGGGTATATACTTGTTCTATACATATATGGCTTGAAAGAGGATTGATATATTTTTTTTAATTTCATTTTATTTAGTAAACTATCTTTTTTCAGACACTAATAAAAATGTTTCCTGTAGATTATGATTTTTTTCTATTTACAACAACATACCATTTTGCAGACTTCTAAAGAACTTTTAACCAGCTAATTCGCTTTGCTTTCTAGAAAGGGGATGGGGTACAGTGTAATAAACCTTATAATATCTTCATTTTATCGCAAGCTATTTTTTTTTCATTTTTCATAATATGTACTTCAGAATGAAGTAATATTTATACTGCAGTTTGCACATTTTATTTGCAAGAAATTCGGCTGGCGATTTTTGTATGCAGCGTGAACGTTGATCACAGTTTTATTAGTAAGATTATAATTTCTGTCTGTTCAGTAGAAATCTTCATGCTTACCGCATGTAATATTTTAATCCATATTTTACATGATTAGAATAGAGTGCGGTGGAGAACTGTTGCCGAGGCCCTATGTTCCACCAGAACCAAAAGGAACCATGATGATGAAAATTACGCATCTGATATGTACTACATATGAATGCATACTTGCGAAAACAACGATCCTCTATCCGATAAGATTTAAATAAATAATTTAACTGAGCAAAATTAAAATCAATAGTAGAGACAACCATGGAATTAATGCATGAAAGCTTGTTCGATCTAAGTGGTATTATAATCTATTGAACTTTTTAAATGTCAAATACAATTATAGGATTATGAAACATATATGTACATGTGCACATTTAAGGCGGGTTTTTTTCCCCGGGCACGAGCACAATTATATTGAACTCTTGGGCATCTAATAATTATAGTTTAAATATCTGTATAGTTAAATTACGAATATTTAAATACAGCTAATATTTCAAAAGGAAATTGATTTAATTTGCTAAGAGTATGAAAATGAAAGACTTCAAAAACGCCGACATTGTTCGAGGTCCACTGTGCCCCGTACGTGTTTCGCGGGAAAAACGCGTGGTCTGTACTGTACCTTTGACCACAAACACAACCAGTTGATCTAATTTATAGCAAATCAGAAATCGTCTCACACTCTGTCTGGTTGTTTTGAACTTGTAGTTTACTTCGAGTAGATTCCTTATTTTTACAGTTGAAGATCCAGACGCATGATACTTGATAATGGTGTTTTGAACAGGCAGACAAAACCTCCGTCCTCCTTTCACAGGCGCCGTAGCGAGAAATAAACCAAAATGACTTATTTGGTCATTACACGATTCAAAAATCATTGGGGGCGTGGTTTGCATAATTAACCAAAGAACGGTACGGTTCGTTTCTTGCACGGAACGGTACGCTTTGTGGACGGTACGGTACGCTTTGTGAACGGAACGGTTCGCTTTGTGGACGGTACGGTTCGCTTTGTGGACGGTACGGTACGCTTTCTGCACGGTACGATACGCTTTCTGCACGGAACGGTACGGTTCGTTTCTGAGGTGTAGTAGCACGGTTTAGGTTAACTAATTTTCAATAGGAAAAACATACATCTTGATGTACCGATAGCTAACTTTGTCATATTTCTTTTGTAATCTTATCATTCATGCTTCTACTTCCTACATTTGTATTCCCAACCCTTTATTTTAAATGAACATCCTAGCTCTTCCGGATCCTTTGCTGCTATCCTTCTCCCAAAGTTTATATAACAACTACTACAACCTCATTTAAGTCTCATTCAATTGATATTTCCTCTCTAAAGACATATTCTGTTCCATCTACTTAGATAAAGGATTAAAAGATATAGACGTCAATGAGTTTGTAAATGAAGCTTTACAAATGGCTGATTTCCACCATCCAAATGTGATGACGTTAATTGGAATTTGCCTTGCAAATGAAATGCCACTGGTGATTTTGCCATTTATGGTTCATGGAGATATGTTAGCATATATTAGAGATAAAAACAACGTGAGCTGTTTTATATTTGTAGAGTATCATCAGCTTTGTTTGACAAGTTAACCAAATTATATAATTAAAATTGTTTCAGATTAAAAATTAAAACACAAGCAAATTCAAACGTGCATATTAAACGCAAATCCGATGGAAAATGCTGCGTATTGCAAATCTTATGCAAATGCTTTTATTTAATCAGGTAATGACACTTTTAAACATTTTACAATTTGGCGCTGATATTGCCAGAGGTATGGAATACCTGACTTTACAAAGGGTAGTGCATCGTGACTTAGCTGCGAGAAATTGCATGTGAGTTGTACTTAAAAATGTAAGAACTGGTATCATTTTAAAAAAAAGAAAACTTACTTTAATTGGGTTGTAATCTTATTCACTTTTCGAAGGCTTGGCGATGACAAAACGGTAGTAGTAGCAGACTTTGGCCTGTCACGAGATGTATATGAGAAAAATTACTACTGTATAAGTAATAAGAACTGTAAGCTGCCAGTGAAATGGATGGCGCCTGAAAGTCTCGAGAAAGGACTCTTCACAGCCCAGTCAGACGTGGTAATACATGTAATTTACTAGGATTCTCGTACTTAAAATTCCAAATCAACAATTTTTACTTTCCCACACTTTCTATTTTATTTGATGTTTTCTTCCAGTGGTCTTTTGGTGTGGTGCTTTGGGAATTGGTAACCAGGGGAAATAAGCCATACCCAGAAGTTGATGGATGGGACATGCTCAGATTTCTGAAAATGAACAGGAAGTTGCCACAGCCTCAATATTGTCCAGATGTGTTGTAAGTACTCAATTCAAAAATAAAATTCAATCTTAAACGAAGCTGAATGAATAGGCTCATGAAGTGTTATTGTTTTCACTTATAGAAATATCACATGTCATCATTCTTCCATCATTGTTCTTTTAAACTTTTTTTTTTTTTTTTTTTTTTAGATTTTTTTCTTTATTACTAAATGATTGGATGAGATGACCCAAGTCGTTCCTTACAAATATTAAGGAAAGATACCCCAAAGCGCATGCATTGATTGATATATATTTCCCTCATTTAATGATTGCTCATGCTAAAAATATAACATTTCTAAACTGGTAGAAAATTATCAAGTTTCCACGATTTTTACAATTCTCCTTTTGTTCTTTTGCATTATGTCTCTAAAGATTTTTAAATCACCTTTTACACAATGGATTTATGATTTGTTGCATTGGGTCTTAACATAAAACAAAAAAGTCTTGCTAACACTATTAAACTTCTCATTTTATTTGTATTCACCTGAAATCATTTTATGCTTCGGGAAACAATGGTTGTTTAGGATCAGCTGTCCTTAACTATACAGTACTTTCTTACATAGAACAGCTATCTGTTTACTTCCGAAGAAGGCTTTCTACAAACATTCTCTTTTAAAGCTGTGTTTAATATTACGAAAAAAAAAATGCAAAAGGATTTTTTTCGGTCAATTTATAGGATCATTTAAAATGTTGATACAATTAATATTATCTGTGTTTAAGGTACTCTGAAATGTCAAGATGTTGGGATTTAGACCCCGACAGAAGACCAACATTTTCCGACCTTGTCGTTGAATTGACCAGATTCACAACTCCATCCTCAGATGATAATTATCTGGAACCTACCGTTACTTATGAGCGACTTCAGAATACCTATGTCAATGTTGAACTGGGGATAAATTACATCGACCTGCACCGAGTCAACTAATTATAATTAACAATTGTTAAGAACGATATTTTTTTAAACGTTGTTTTAAACTTAGTAATAAAGGAGAGTGTGGTTATTCTAAAGCTTTCATTTTTTCAGTACCACGTGTATGTAAAGGACTATTATATGTAAATGTAATATTTCACAGATTCTTTTATGTATTTTTTAAACACTTTTGTTTAATTTCTGCATTTTTTCAAGGACGCCTAGATATGTTTAAGAAAATATTTTCTTTCAATATTCAATTAGGAATCAATAAGGAATGGGGGACCTTCAAAGCGAAGGAATTTGTCTTCCATTTCTTTTCATCGTTGAAAAAAATGCAAAAACATGTAAGATTTCTCAAACTTAAATTTATAGATTCAGTTCTATGGAACTTGTGCCGCCTTGTTATTAAAAGCAAAAAATTAACAGTTATGTATACATTTTATTTCTTAAAATAACTTGACTTTGATAGAATTTAAGTATTAAATAATAAATTAAGATGTACATTTATGCATATATTTTACCATCTTTTGATCATCAGATGAATGAACATGTACTGTACTCATGTTCAAAATGATTGTAAATAGGTAGACACAATGAAGTCTTCTACATTTTATGTTTTACTCTTGATTAATATGATTTTATTCAGAGGTAAGCTTTCAACTGTTGCGTTTGATGAAAACTAATGAATATTTATGATGAAGCATATGCATGTACATGCATGAATTGAAATATTCTTTGAATAATGGTGTTTTTCCACTCTTGATGATGATAGATATTTTAAACGAAAATAATTTTTATTTAATCTATTGTTGTTGTTTTTTTTTAATTATTTTGTCAAGGCTTTTCCTTTGAATTTCCGCTTCGTTAGATTTTCAATTTATTAAACTCAAACACATATATATATATAAGAATGAAAAATTATCATTTTGAACAATTTGCTTAACAGATAGTTAAAAGTTTTTCGATGATAATAAATTTGTATATTGTGCTGTATTTTACAGGTACAACCGTAAATTTTAATTTTAGTCAATTACTGTTAGCATGTATATCTTTTCATAAAAGTACATGTATAAAGTTGAAAAATGAAAAACATTCATTTCTTATCCAAAACAAAACTTTGTTATCATTTCGAAATATATTTTTGCTTTTGATTCCTGATATTACATGAAACATCAAGATTTTTTTTTCATTGTCTCAAACAAAAGTAAAAAAAAATATCATAGAAGAGTCCGAATACCCTGCGCACCGTTCAGATCTGCACATGAGCTTTTGCTTATTTTCAGGTAACCCAAAATTCAGAGACAATACAATGCAAAATAAAACATAACAGGTTATATGAATTTAATTTTTAATTTTAAAAGAAAGAACTCCGTTGCGATTATTTTTTAACAATAGATCTTTAAGTATAAAGATAATGAACAATTATATTTAAATATGCAAATGTGTTTGCGGGCTATTCACCATCGACCGAGAAATTCTAGAAGAGGATCTGGTGCCCAACAAAATGAGCATTTCGGAATTCTCTGTCTTCATAAAAAAACCGTGACCACTAGGTATTCCGTGTAATCATGTAGTCCAAATATACCCGGACAGATATATATCCTTAAAATAAAGATTTAACAATTTACACAATACTAGTTAGCTAAAATACAACCAAACGATCGATTATTTTTCCCACAATGATTTTATTACATTATGCAGATCTATAAATGCAGAAAACATTCACCAAAAAATTCTGAAAAATTATATTAGAGCAGAACAATGTGGCTAACATTATTCTCATTTTACGAAATACAAACCTCGTATATTGTTAAGGTAGGTCGCGGGTTTACTGCTCAAAAATTCTTGCGAGAAAACATATCCTGAAAATTTGATATAATGTTCCTTAGAATTCACAGCGTATTATCTGCAATTTTGATAAATTTACGATGTTATATTACTGTAAACGCAGTATTGTTGTTAGTACTTTTTTACGCTTTACTATTGACATGTATGGAAAAATAACCTTTAAACCAATTTTGTGAAAACACTTTTTTAAAAAAAGGTTGGATAACTTTTTAGACGAATTAGTCAGGAATTTCAAAGTGTCAAGATGAGGTAAAACAAAACTGTCTATATATAAAAAAATCAATATGTCTTCTAGCTAGATTTTTTGCTAAATAATTTCAAAGTTTTCTTTTATACTGCTAAAATGTTGCGTTTATAGCGTTATTTATGTAGATCTACAACGTCATTTCTTAAACGTAGTCACATTTACAGTACGAGTATAAATATTTTGACCTTTGGGATATGCAAGATTTAAAAAAGCGACATAGATACAAAATTTAATTTTAGATAATATTTGGATCATTAGTATTGTGAAATTCATACTCTGATCCCAAAGGCATAATGGACGGTATAAACATTCCTTGTGACAACGAGGCGAGTGATAAAAGCATTTCTGGCCCAGTGGTTCTTGAGAATAAGATTTTCAAAGATTTGTCCTATATATTTCTATGTAAAAATTTTATTCCCCATTGTGGCCCCGCCCAATCCCCGAAGCTCATGATTTGAACAATTTAGAATATACACTACCCAAGGATGCTTCCACATAAGTTTCAGCTTGGCTTACCCACTGGTTCTTTAGAAGAAGATTTTCAAAGAATTTTCCTATATATTATTATGTAAAACTTTGATTCCCCTGTGGCCCCGACCTACCCCAGGGGGTCATGAATTGAACAATTTAAAATCTACAGTACTTCATGATGCTTCCACATAAGTTTCAGCTTTTATGGCCCAGTGGTTCTTGAGAAGATTTTTTTAATGACTCCACCCTATTTTTGTCTTTTCTTGATTATCTCTCCTTGTGAGGGGACTTGGCCCTTCATTCTAACAATTTAAATTTCCCTTTACTCAAAGATGCTTTGTACCAAGTTTGGTCAAAATTGCCCAAATGATTCTTGAGAAGAAGTCGAAAATGTGAAAATTTTACAGACGGACGGACAGACAGACGGACCCGGAAAAGTACATGTAATTAAATTTAACCCGTTTTTAGTGATGAGGATTGCTTCCATCCAGAAAGTTAAGGGCAAATTTTCACCAGACTTTGATTGGCAGTGTTAGTCATGATGCAATACGCATGTTCAACTGAGTTTCAAATTACGTGCGCACATACAAACCTAAGTTTTCCGCTAAGTAATTTTAATTCATGATAATTTTTTCTGCAAATCATAACTTTAACGCTGATTTATTCTAATTGACTTTTATCCGTTTGAACCCGGTCGACCAATCAGCAATTGTTTTTAGGTCACCTGGGTGACCTATTGCTATCCGTTTTCGTCCGTCGTCGTGCGTCGTACGTTGTGCGTTAACATTTGAACATTTTCAGCTTCTTCTCTGCAACCACTGAACCAATTTCAACCAAATTTGGCACAAAGCATCTATGGGTGAAGGGAAACAGAAATTGTGAATTTCATGATCCCTGCCCCCCTGGGGCCTGAGGGGTGGGGCCAAAACAACTAAAATTAATGCAATCTTTAAAACTCTTCTTCTTTCCTCCTGGATATCAAGCAGTCAAACTGTTTGCATGATTGTAATCAGCACTGAGTCCTCTACCAAAATTGTGAAATTCATGGTCCTGGGGTCAGGGGTTCTAGGGTGGGGCTAAATAAGTATATAGTGAAAATGCATTATTTCTTTGAAAATCTTCTTCTCTGCTCCTGGGTATTATATAAACTTACTAAGTGCATAGTTATGATGAGCAAGAGTGCCTCTACCAAAATTGTGAATTTTATGGCCCCAGGGTCATTGATTCTGGTGTAAGGGCGGGGCTCTATTGATGATATAGTGAAAATACATGAATTCTTTGAAATTTTTCTTCTCTGCTCCTAGGTATTAAATAAACTAAATAAGTGCATAGTTATGATGTGAAAGAGTGCATTTACCAAAATTGTGAATTTTATGGCCCCAGGGTCAGGGATTCTGGTGTTAGGGCGGGGCTCTATTGATTATATAGTGAAAATACATGAATTTTTTGAAAATTTTCTTCTCTGTTCCTGGGTATTCAATAAACTAACTAAGTGCATAGTTATGATGAGCAAGAGTGCCTCTACCAAAATTGTGAATTTTAAGGCCCCAGGGTCAGGGGTTCTGGTGTTAGGGCGGGGCTCTATTGATTATATAGTGAAAATACATGAATTCTTTGAAAATCTTCTCTGTTCCTGGGTATTAAATAAACTAACTAAGTGCATAGTTATGATGAGCAAGAGTGCCTCTACCAAAATTGTGAATTTTAAGGCCCCAGGGTCAGGGGTTCTGGTGTTAGGGCGGGGCTCTATTGATTATATAGTGAAAATACATGAATTCTTTGAAAATCTTCTTCTCTGTTCCTGGGTATTAAATAAACTAACTAAGTGCATAGTTATGATGAGCAAGAGTGCCTCTACCAAAATTGTGAATTTTAAGGCCCCAGGGTCAAGGGTTCTCGTGTTAAGGCGGGGCTCTATTGATTATATAGTGAAAATACATGAATTCTTTAAAAATCTTCTTCTCTGCTTCTGGGTATTAAATAAACTAACTAAGTACATAGTTATGATGAACAAGAGTGCCTCTACCAAAATTGTGAATTTTATGGCCCCAGGGTCAGGGGTTTTGGTGTTAGGGCAGGGCTCTATTGATTATATAGTGAAAATACATGAATTCTTTGAAAATCTTTTTCTCTTCTATAATATATTAAATAAACTTACTAAGTGCATAGTTATGATGAGCAAGAGTGTCTCTACCAAAATTTTGAATTTTAAGGCCCCAGGGTCAGGGGTTCTGTTGTTAGGGCGGGGCTATATTGATTATACAGTGAAAATACATGAATTCTTTAAAAAATTTCTTCTTTGCTCCTGGGTATTAAGCAGATGAACTACCTATATAGTTATGATGAGCAAGAATGCCTCTTTAAAAATCATAAATTTTAAGGCCCCAGGGTCAGGGAATCTGGTGTTAGGGTGGGGCTCTATTGATTATATAGTGCAAATACATTAAATCTTTGAAAAATTTCTTCTTTGCTC